AATGATAAATTAGATCTAGTACAAGGGCAAAAATTACCCTTTTACCTAAGAGTAATAAAATATAACTCATCAATTGAATTACAATGGAGTACCCTGAATTACAATGGTGATTTACAATCATATAGTAAATTAAGCACAAAATTGAGACATATTTCTAAAATCATTAACACAAAATTAGCAATTTAAGAATACACAAGGATCATACAATGATTCATATTAAAAAAACCTAATAAAAACTTGAACAATGATAGATACAAACAGATCTGATTGCATCGACAAACAAATCATAAAATGGGGATCGTGATATTAAAATATCACCGAAAAAACCGCAAATCAGAGTCGAGCGACGTGAAAAAATAATTAACGAGTGCAAATCAAATATCCAAATCCAATTTGAAGCTCTAAAGTAGGAAAGATCGGTATGATAAACGGATAAGACACATATTGATCAGTCGTGACGATGTCGAATCAACCCTTAAAATGATAAATGAAAAACAATAGCTAAACGATCGAGAATGTGCCAAAAAAAAGATAAAAACGTGTCATAAAATCGAGATGAAAGCAATTAATAAAGACAAACTTATTGAAAATTAGAAACAAAATAAAAATAAAAATGTTATGTAAAATAATTTTAAAAAAATACTGACGATCGAAAATCAATATCAAAAATTGTATTGTCGCTAATCAATAAAGATGAAAAAAAAGAAGTGTGAACGACACACCGCAAATCGGAGAAACTACTAAAATTCTAAATGTTCAACTTTTTTATGTATTAATATTAAATATTATATGAGAGAAAATTTATCACATTTGTGGTTATATCCTGTTTGACAAGATTAATCTTTATTAAGACAAGTAAACGGATAATTGACAAACACTACAATAAAAAAAAAGTAAAAATGTATTAGACTCCTTTATACTTGAAAAAAAAATCAATGTGACACTCAGGTTATTTTTTTCTCTTACCGTGACCTTCCAACTTAAAAAATAAATTCAATGTGACATTTTAACCACGTCTTTTGTCTTTTGATCGTTACAGTACTGACGTGGTAGTCCACGGTGTTGACGTGACAATCTATGGTGGTTGATAACATGATAAATTGACTAAATTGATAACTTAAACATGACAAATGGATTGTTAGATTAGTGTCGTGAATCGCCACGTTAGTACCGTAGCAGTCAAAAGACGAAAAACGTTGGTAAAGAATCATATTGAGTTTATTTTATGAATTGAAAGGTCAGATTGATAAAAAAAATAATACGAGAATCACATTGATTTTTCTCTCCCAAAAATTCAGGGACATTTAATGCTTTTTACATAAAAAACATTAAATACGATGTGAAATTTGAATAATGTATAAGTGTGAAAGTATCAAGAGAATAATGTCTAAGGGGATATTTGTTTGTCTCTTAATGAAATTATTCAGCGTTGAATGTTGAACCGTTCAGCATTCAACACGTTTGTTTCGTACCTCTGAATGATTCAGTACTGACTGATTCAGCAAAACAGTGCTAAATGATTCAGTACATAAATACATTCTGAATTATTCAAAGTCATTATCAAACAACATGTCACATTCAGAGTTAATTCATATAGAACCTCTGAATCATTTAATATTTGAATTATTTAACATTTAAATCATTCAGCGCTTAATCATTCTGAAGTAAATTAATAATCCCTAAGTGTTAAAATTATGGAGGCAGGTGGGAGGGACAAAGTAGGTGAATATATGGATCAAATAAGAGGAAACGTGGACCAATATTTTAGCTTGCGCTTGCTTTTTCTTCATGGATTGCCGAAATCACGAGGGATGTATCCATTTTTGCGGTGAAATGCCTATTTTCAGTGTCGAATAATTATATTGTCTTATCCTACTGCTCAAATACCAAACCCTAATACGACAACCTTTATCATTCGAAACTGCATGGAACATAAGTATTGCTCAACCCAATCCATCCATTTTTACTACATATATCCACTATCCCCTTATTATTATTATATATATTATTATTATTATATATATATATATATATATGAATTTTATTCAAAAATAAACGTATGTGGTGTGTGTCGAAGATATTGTACAAGTTAGGCCGTTGTTGTTGTGCGCGTGTATTAATTTTATGTTCAATCATTTTAATAAATACATATTTAAATATAATTTTTTAAACATACATTTATTGGTGATTGAACACAAAGTTAATACATGTGTATCCAGCATGACTGGACTCGTGTAAATATGTGTATTTGACACCACTGTGCGATTTTGTTTATAATGGGCAAAATTCTTAGAAGTTTTACATATTTTTCTCATATTTTCCCTTTTTTTCTTTTCATTTTAGTTCAACTTGTCTGGATTGTGCACATAGGCATTATAAAACATGTCTACACTTTCTACAAAACACGCTTTCATCCTAAATGCTAGAAAAGAGTGTAGATCTTAAAAATAATCTAATATATATTAAATGAGAAATTACTTTTTAATAGATGATTTTTGATAATAAAAAAATCTTAACATTATCTAACGGTGTTGGTTCAAGTGTTAAGTAACTTGATATTACTTAAGCAAGATCAAGATCTCGGATTTGAGTCATTGTGTATGCAGAAAACCATGTTGGGAGATTCACCCATTAAAGATAAGTGTACGGTACGGGTCAATCTGGATTAGTCAAGGTGAAACCTTGAAACCAAGAGGGTAGCCAATTTTTTTTTAATATTTTTATTTAAAAACAATAATTCAATTTCCTTAAAAAAAACGGAAATTTATTTATTACTTTAAAAATAACAATTAATTTATTAAAAAAAAACACCAACATTTAAAAGTAAAGTTTATTGTTACCTCCATATAAAAAAATAAATATCTTTGCACTTTGTTTGATTTGAAATAATTTTTCATTTATAAAAACAATTTATTTATCGTTTATACTTTTATATAATTAAACAATATTATTAATTATAAAAGATGGGTCTGATGTCGTTCGTCATCAGTGGGGCCCACATCAAAGACAAGCGATCAGGCCCACTGAATTTCTTTTCTTTTGTATGTGATCTAAAATCAAAACAGATCATAGGATGGGAAAGCCGATGATTATTAGTTGCTAACAATAACAATATTCATTTTTTTAATTAAATATTATTCCAGCTATTTAAATTTAATTATTCCTTATATTTTGTATTTCCCCTTGAGTTGTCTTTGTTATTTGCTAAGAGCAAGCAGACGGTTCACGTGGTCGGGGGGACATGAGGTCTTTTAGCCCTTTCTATAGATGTGGCCCCACCTCGATGCAATCCGACCAATTAATTATTGTTCTCATTTTTTTCAACAAAAATAATTATATATTTATTTAATCATATGTCCAGTTTTTTTTCAAGAAAAATAATTAATTATTGGTCCGTTCGTTATCTCCTTCGATCGTCGTTGCATATCAATCTTCACCTGATCACCATCTAAAGTTTCAAAGTTCTAATGATACGATCTCCTTATAAGACCACTCGACAAGGCTACTTTTAATGTATGTTGTTCGTCTTCTTGAAAGAATATTTTTTCCTCTTTGAATTTCCGAACAAACACCCTAAACTTCTCAAATCAAAAGATTTAAAAAAAATCTATACCGATAATGTGATAGAGAATTATGAGACGAGTTCATTAATATATAACGTAGCCACAAAAAGATATTGAAAAATGAGCTTTCAGATAATGACTAAAAATAAGTGAAAACTATAAAGTTGGACATGAAACTAAAATCGGATCTATTTAAAATTCAGTAATAAAATCGATATAAACCCTAAAATTTAGTGACATTTGAGATAATTTATGTTTAAAAATATAATAAATAAAATCTGAAATAATAAAATTGTCTTGTTGATCGCTTTGAAGAGTAAAAAAGAGTTTTCACTATGATATGTCCAAAAAATGAAATCATGAAATTATAGTCAAAACAAAATAACCGGAGACAAAAATGCAAAAGGTAAATGAAACTTATAATCTACATAAAGTAGAATTGTTATCAAAACAAAAGTAATTGACAATGACCATGAATAATACTTTATTTAATTAATTATTCAATTTTAGTTGATTTAATTGTAATTATTTTTTTTCTTTTAAAGGGTTCGAGCACCGACAATTCTGTAGTATGATGATTGATCGTTTATTATCAAATGGTTGAATGTATTTAAAACAGATGACACTTTATAGTTAACTTAATAAAAATTATATATATTTTGAAGTAATTATATATTGTTATATATACTCTAGTTTGATCATATACAAATATAATTAATATTAACATGATAAAAATGGTAAAATACACAAATGGTAACTAAACTATGTTGAACTGATATTAAGAACACAAAAGTTTCAAACGTTACAAAATGGTCATTAAACTTTATAGAAATACTACAAATGATCATTAAACTCATCAAAACTTATCATTATTTTATAACGTCTCAATAAGTTTAATGATTGTTTTGTAACTATTGAAACTTCAATAACCAAAAAAATCACTTCAACATAGTTCAATGAGCATTTTTATATTTTACCCTAAAAACAAGGTAAATTACACTTTTAGTATCTAAACTTTCAATTTTTCAAAACCATACCTAAAATTTAGTTTTTGTTACATTTTAGTACCCTATTCAAAATTTAAAGTTAATTTTTGAAAAATAATTGAAAGTTTAGGTATTAAAATAGACCAAAACTGATAGTTTAGGTACTAAACACGTTAAGTTTTCAACGGTTAGATACTAAAATAAAATAAAAACTAGACGGTAGGTATGATTTTGAAAAAAATGAAAGTTTAAGTATTAAAACGGATAAAAACTGATAATTTAGATATTAAAATGTGTAATTTACCCACAAATTAATGCTAAAATTCCCAACAAATAGATTAAGCTTTCTTGCAACTTTGGTTTTTCTTGAAACTTCCCAATTATAACTAACTAGCAATACAAGCATGGCTGGTCCCTATATAAATTAGAATATTGCAAAGAAATTCTAAATGGCAAAGGCACTTAATTTGTCATGATCATAAACTAGCTATATATATACATGCCCACACAACACAAACCCTTCCCCCTTTCATATAATATTGCCTTTCAGTTCATCTTGATCCCATCCTCTTACCTTAAATTTATTCAAAATTTCTCATTCATAGCAAAGATCCCAAAGAACTCACCACCTTTTTCGTTTCTTTTTTTTATTTCTTAAAGATGGGACTAAGGGACATTGGAGCAACACTGCCACCTGGGTTTAGGTTCTATCCAAGCGACGAAGAATTGGTCTGCCATTATCTCTACAAAAAGATAGCCAACGAGGAAGTGTTGAAGGGTACTTTAGTCGAGATCGATCTGCATACATGCGAGCCATGGCAGCTTCCTGGTAGGTTTCTTACCGTTCCCTTTTAGATTTGTCTTCTTCTCTTTTCTCTTTGGGGTTTGAGAAAACTGAGCTATTAGAAGGTATAGTTCAACTATTATGAGGAACGGACGAATAATTTTATGTTAGAAATGACTGATTTTACTCTCTCTTCTCCGTCCATCCCTCGGTGCCACTGTCATCTTCCATGTTAGCTGTTAGAGATAGTTGAAAAACAAACACGTTTTTCCTCCTCTAGGAGAGAGAGAATGGGACGAGAAAAAGAGAGATGGGAAAGGAAGCACATCGGTTTTAACTTGGTGTGTTTACACTCACACATACACATATTTAGAAACCTATACACATGCATGTATATATACATGGTGAGGCATGTGATCGATACGTTTCACTTGGTTAAATAGTCACGATAAATAGTAAGATTCGAGTCTGATTAATAATTTTATCTAGTAAATAATATGGATAAGAATCCACCAATAATATCTTATTTTTTCGGACTTTGTAAGCTATCACCAACTTCTTAAATCATGTAAGGAAGGGCTTCTTTGTTCGTTTCTCTCATTTGTTTTGGCACATTGCAAGAACTAGAAAGATAAGATTCCCCACCCTTTGGTTTGATTCTAATTAATTATATCGACATTTCTTTACTATAATCTAAAATCATCGTAACGCAAACAAGTAAGAGATGTTCAAGTTTTCATAAATGATTCAGGTTAACTCTATTTATAGATATCTAACAATTGAATTTATAATATAAGATCGAATATACTTAAACATTCAATATCTTCCGATTTATGAATACACTGTTACCTTTGCTTTTTCCTCTTTCTGTTTTCTATGCCATGGTTAATCGAATAAGTAACACGTCAATATCGCTATGATAGAGAAAGTTAAATGTGACATAATGGCTAAATGTTGAGTGTGGTGTTGGAATTAACGTGTGACCTATAAATAAAAGCTACACTTTTTGGAATAATCTGTTCAATCTTCGTGTTCTCTCCTAATCATTCGACTGTTCAAACTTTTTAAACCGGCATGTAAAGCCAAACACACCCTTAATTACCTTTCTTACGCATAACTCGTAGAAGGTGACAAAGACTTACCAAAACTCACGGTAAATTCAAGTTTGTGATTAACTGTGTATGTTGTGTATGCATGGGGGACTTGGAATGAAATCACAGAGGTGGCAAAGTTGAACGCAAACGAGTGGTACTTCTTCAGCTTCCGTGACCGGAAGTACGCGACGGGATTCCGAACGAATCGAGCAACCACATCCGGCTACTGGAAAGCAACGGGGAAGGACCGAACGGTGATCGATCCGAGAACCCAAGAGACCGTAGGGATGAGAAAGACTCTAGTGTTTTACCGAAACCGGGCTCCGAACGGGATCAAAACGGGTTGGATCATGCATGAATTCCGACTCGAGACCCCACATATGCCCCCTAAGGTCACATTTCCTCCTCTCCTTTTTCTTTTCTTTTCAACTGTATACTCATATCATATGTCTGCTCATATGTATGTTGTTTGAAAATGACTTTGAAAGTGAGAGATTGAAATTTAGGGTAAAGAGAGGTTGACATATTGCACCCAACGTGTATGTGAATTTGAGGGAAAAAATAGATTTATGAGTGTTTGCTCATAGGAAACTTAAGGAAAAAGCATAGTGGGAATAATATATGCAAGCTGTCCACATATAATTAGTTCCATCTTCATGTGTTCTCATAATCAAGTACTTAATCATGTTATACTATATATTATCATATGATTATGACAATATTAATGTACATGTCACCATATTATTAGTTTGTATTTTCTTAAAGAAATTACGTGATCTTAGTTTATATCATAACACAACATCAGCGTTACGAGAGTTAAGTTGAAAGGATGACTCGCGTTCGAATATGCATCTGATTATTCGATTTTCGCTTCGAATGTGTGACAGGAAGACTGGGTTTTATGTAGAGTGTTCCACAAGAGCAAAGGGGGAGAGAACAGCGACAGGCTGAGCTCCCCAATGATGTTGGAACCTTCAATTCATGCACCTTCTTTAACCGACCAAACCACAATGGCTTGTGCGTATCATCAACAAATCAACTCTTTACCCACCAAACCACCCCATCAACCCCATGGCCAAAGCTTGCTCAATCTGCTCCAATACAATTCCCACCCGGGAAAAAACGACGACAACAACAGCAACGACAACAATAATCACTGCAGCAATGAAGTTAGCTCGAAAGTCGACGACGATTACGAGTTCTTGTGGGACATGAACATGGAAGAAAACAGCTTAGGTGATCACCATCACGATCATCATGAGCTTATCCATGGCGTGGCGTCTAACTCGGATGACATGAGATTCGAGATCAATAATAGTATGATTTTCTTATGAACTTTATCAAATACTTTTATAGAAAGAGAAAAAGGGGAAAAAGAAGAATAAAAGTTACCAATAATTTGTTGATTTGTGATGTTGGTGTGGTGTTTGCGTCCCTTTGAGGATTCAAAGGGACGTTAGAAGATTGTGTGTTATTTCTCAGTTTAGGGTTTATATATATTTATATACAACAGTGGGCTTTGTAAAAAAATTATTTATATAAATGCATATATTAATTCAATTCACCAGTCTCGAGTGATTTTGGTATGAAAATAAGTGAAGACTTTTTAAAATGAAAGGAATAATATTATTATAGGATCCAATCAACGACGGTTGAGTCATTTCAAATCATGAAATAATATATGTTATTAATACTCTCAACCACCTGATAATGAACACTCAATTACCCTGTTGTAATCGCTGATGCTCGAACTCGTGACCTGTAGGGAACAACAACGATTCCTTTAACAATTGAGGTGAGTGGTTCGTGCTTGTATAATATATTAGAAACTTCAACAACGAACAGTATCAAGTATTGAATGTTCGAGTCTGTGTCTAATATATATTTTAAATATGTTTAATTTTTTTTATCCAAATTTATATCCTCATGACATGACCTAATGGATTAAATCGAATCGCGTTAAATACGATAATGATACTAATTTACCGGTATATTTGTCTATTATTATTATTTGATTCATAATATTATGTATTATCATTGTATTAAACATAAATTTAATTGTAACAAATCCACCCTAAACATGTAATTCATAATGGTTTGTGTGCTTCAAATGAAATTATAAAGAGTTAACAATTATACAAAATAAATATATCTTTTATATTTCATTGTCATTATAGATAACCATAATTTCAAGGATATTTAGATTTATTTACGCATTCTCACGTGGACTTCACATGCATATAATCCAATCAATATATACACATATATTTATACAAGAAAACATTAATTATTATTTGGTGTACGAAAACTAATAATTAAATTATTATCTCTTATCTACAATAATGTAATTATATGTCTCCTTTTTTATATATCGTAGTGTTTTTTTTTATAAATCTAGAGTAAATATAATTATAATCATATTCAATCGTTATAAATGTAAATTTATTTAAATAACTTAACAAGTGATTTAAATTAAAATTATTTTTTAAATAATGTACGATGATTACAAGATAATATTTGTTAATAATCTTACTTGATTATTGACGACGTATACGCATGTTTTATACACAGTTGCTCGAATCCAGGACCTCAAGTGAGAATAACATTTCCCATCACCACTGAGTCAATGAGTTCTTGAAATTAAACTTTAATATTTAGAGATGAGATTGTTGATATAGGAAGTCACAAAAATGAGTATGTAAACAACTAAAATTAAGACATAGATCACAGGGCTCAAGGAGTTTAGGCCCATTAAATTTAGCTTAGAAACACAGTCTCTAACAGGCTTTTGTTGCATCCTAATGGCCGTTTCATACATGTCTGCTAGACCTATAGTGGCCCAATTAATTGGGCTCGTATCACAAAAATAAACCAACGTTTTCCACTATAGTTCGTAGCATTCAGATAAAAATAATTAATTGTATCACACGTTCTCAAATTTTAAAGTCCAAAGTCTAAACCTTAATATGTTTTTCAAATCAAATCAAATTCGGATAAATAATGTATGCTTCTCGAATAAGATTAATCAAAATCCGATCCGACCCGTTATATATATACTCACATACATACTTCATACACGTGTACAATTTGAGGGGGGATCATGACTAGGTAGCGGTGGTCCACACTCTCTCGGCCGTATATCACTATTTAGTGGCAACAATTTCACCAAAACCCCTTCCAAAAAGCATGCATAATAATAATTGTCAAAGACCACTCTATTTGCTACCTACGGGTACTATGTGCCATATCTCATGTAATAGAGGAAGGGGTACTGAACTTAGACTGGGAGCAACTCTTGACGGCAAAACTTTCGAGATAATGTTCTGGAAAAAATTAATTCACGAGATAATGCACTCTCCAGATTAATTGCTCAAATAGGGTGAAATCTACAGTGTTGGCCGTAGGTCGCCATGCCTTCCCGGCGAGCTACAAGAGATTGCATGTGCCATGCACGTCCCAACACGCTGGGCATCCGAGGCCATCCGAGCGAGCTATGCAAGGGCATTCGAGGCAGCCGAGAGAGCTATGCGAGGGCATCCGAGCGAGCGAGCAAGGGTAGGTCGCCTGGAGAGCATGGTCGCCCGGAGAGCATGACGACCTATGTGTTGGGGCGTGCATGTGCCATGCAACACGTTCATTCTCTTTGTTTGAGCAAGGATAGGTCGCCCGGAGTGCATGGCGACCTACGACCAACACTGTAGATTTCACCCTATTTGAGCAATTAATCTTGGGAGTGCATTAACTCGTGAATTAATTTATTTCAGAACATTATCTCGAAAGTTTTGCCACTCTTGACCTAAATTTTATTGTAAAAAAATGTAATATAATAATAATAATAATAGGTGGACTAGGACATTTGCGAACTAGTACTTCAATTAATTAATTTTTCTTATGATCCAATCCCTTCATAGCAAGCATATATTTTTCTGACCCCTCTTCCTTTTTCATATTACTTTTTTAATAAAAGGGCTACTTTTGCTCTTGTCAGAGATCCGATTTATCATTTTTGCTCCTATCGTTGTTTCCCATCAATTTAACTCTCGAAATTACTCAATTGTATCAATGTTTAAAATGCTTACAATAAGGATAAAATGATAAATTGAATATACTACAGAGACAAAAATGACCATTTTGCTTATTTTTTAATATGAAATTTGTATTATGATTTTGTAATTTTAATTATTTTCAAATTTTAATTTTTTAATCTTTATTTGGATGATATAAGGATAGTAGGACTAAATTTTAAAATATAAAAAAATAATCAAATTTAAAAAAGCATAAATTAAATTTATGATTTACACGTAATTAAAGATGATAAATTATCTGAATCTGTTAAATTTCGACCAAACTCGACTTTATAAGGTTGAATTTTTGTTAGTCTAGAATTTACATATATCCTTAGCTGATGCAACTACTTAAACATCAGTCCTATAAAGATAACAACATTTTTCATTATAACCTGGAGAGTAAATGAACGTAACGTTTGGTAAATTATTCATATAATGTTTTCATTTATATTATTTTGGTAAGCTAAATAAATGAGCATGAACAAAATTTTTATGTTTATTTAATAAATAAGCGAACACAAACAAATATGTGTCCGATTTGTTTATGTTCATGAATAAACTCGTTTACAGACTCGTTCGTTTATGTTAATGAACACTGTAACATCCTCCATACCGAGTTAGTGATTAAATTGTGAAATTTTAAAATTTAGTGATCAAAGTTGATAAATTGAAAGTTGAAGAAGCTTCGGTATTTTCGAAGATCGATCTATGTTCGGGTTATCATCAATTGAAGATTCAGGAGAAAGATATTCCGAAGACGGCTTTCAGAACGAGATATGGTCATTATGAATTCATTGTAATGCCATCGATACATCAATGCATAAGGAGTGCATCGATGCACCCCATTAAATACAAACATCGAATAGGATTTATGCATCGATGCATGGTGTAGTGATGCATACCTCCATTAAAAGATGAAAATGACTTTTCTTTTAACCTAAGAAATGATAGTTTAGAATATACTAATTAGTATACTGATAAGTATCAATGAATTACTATGTAGATATCTAGCCTAAACGAGTTCTAGAACAATCGACAAGTAGGATTGATCGAGGGAAAGACAGAGAAATCTAGGTGAGTGCATATGCATAGCATGAATATGTATTCTATTCAGTTCTAGACTTGTGATAAGTCTAGATTCAATATTTTGATACATGATCGCATTTCATATTATGATACATGTCATGAATTCATACCATATGTATTATGTGACATGAATAAGCAAGAAAAAGTTATATGAGTTATGTGATAAAGTTATAGAAATGATATGTCTATGTGATAAAGGTATGAAAATAATATGTTTACGTGATACAAATTATGTGGATGGTGAAAGCCTATGTTATGTAGATGAGAACTATAAGTATAGTTGGAATGCCAAGGGTAGAGGGTCTACGCGGTCTTTCGGGATATATATATATATATTCTTTGGAACATGTGTGAAGTCTTGTGAGACACATATTTGATCCCTAGTATATGTATATGATTCTTAAGGAATGATATGTGGTCCTTATGGACATTATTATATGGCACTCCGGTGCAATTCTACGCGGCACTCCGGTGCAATTCTACGTAGCACTTCTGTGCAATTATACGAGCTGTGGTGACAACATAGTGCACAACCTCACAATACTCACATACCTTAGGTTCTCAATATGGTACCATGGGCTAATGAACTTAATAAGGTGAACTTATTAATGTGAATTTGATAAGTATATGTGTAAGAAACATGGTTATGGTTATTGCATTGTTTACATACATCTTATTATTACAACCCATCTCATTTTGGCAATTCCTTTATATTTTATTGATATTGTTATATTGCCTCACTAAGTCATAGACTTAGCGTGTGTGTGTTTCACACGTAGGTTCTGGAAAGCAAGAAGAGAAGTTTAGAGGAGCAAGACAGGTCAGCATTTTCCTTACAACGTTTCAGATCAGAAAATAAATGATTTAAATGTGTTTGGTTAATCTGAACATAGTTGGCATGTACTAATTGATTGAGCTAAATATGCTCTGATCGATTTTGGTTATTTTGGTCAATTTATGTAAATAAACAGTTTTTATTTTAATGAAAGTTTTTAAATTTTCTTTGAATTTGTCAAGAGACAAAGTTTGAAAAGTCAATGTGACAACCAGACTCGTATTCGGGTCGGATACGGGTTGAGGGTGTTACAAACACACTTGTTCACTTTTTTTTTACATTTTAAACATTGATGAATATATAAACTAAATTGAGCATATTATGAAAATTAGAGTTTTAACTATGAAATTTAATGAGTTTAAGCAGTTTGTAAACGAACATATTTGCCAACACTAAACGAACGGATACCTTCAAAAACAAATAAACGAACACAAAGACGATATTAAAAGTTTTAATGAACAAGAATCAAACATGAACACTTTTAAAAATAAACAAACAAACATGAATATAATTTTTTCCGTTTAAATTCGATTCATTTACAACCCTAATTACCACTAAAGTCACTCAATTAA